AAGACTCGCGTCTGCGGGGCAGGGTCTGGGCGCCCCGGCCGGAGGCTCCCTGCATCTTCCCGAGCGATCCGTCGCCCTAATTGGAGCGAGCTCTTGTCCCTCAGAACGGAGCTGCAGACGCTCTCCTGATGCAGTTATGCTGCTAATGTGAAAAACTGCCTCATTACGAGGATCTGTTTGTAGCTGGAACATGCCTGCCTGATGACACATGCGTGACGGGGCAGTCACAGGAAGAGGATCATTATTGAAATGGGGCTGGATCCCGTCTCCCCGCAGCCGGCAGCTGGGCCGGGGCGGACGCGTGTCTTCCTGTAGTTATTGTTGCCGTTGGTCCTGCAGGCAGAAGGGACGTTTGTGTAAAGCCAAAAACTTCTCGTCTCTCTCTCGGCTGGGGCTCCGGCCTCCACCCTAAGGGATGGCGCTCAGGAGCTCCTGTGCCCCCGGGGAGCCGTGGTTCCGGGAGCTTCCGCGGGCCCGGCTGGCGCGTGGCTGTCCCCACGAAGCCTTGTCCCCGAGACCCTCCTGTCGCGGTCCAGCCCCTGTTGGGGGAGGGTGGGGGGAGGGGGGCCACCACCTGGCAGGCAGTCCACGGCCGCGGGGTCACCTCTGCTTGGGGGGCTCCCCACGGATGGACACCCTGGGGTGGGTTTCCCACCGCAGAGCCCCAGGCATGTAGTAGCTGCTTAATAAATGTGGGAGAACGCGCGGGATTTAAGACGGTTCTTTTGGCTGCTTCCCTGCAGCTGTGCGCGCCGCACCTGCCCAAACAGCAGTGCGCTTCCCGCTCTGAAATTTGGTTTCTGGGTTATCAAGCAGAGGTCCTGCTCACTCGTCCCTCGCTTAATTGAATTGGGTTTCTATGTTAATGGGCTTGCTAGTCAAACCTAATGAAATAATCATACACATTTTGGGGTGTTAGAGATTAACACGGACCTGCGGGCAGGGCCGGCGGACAAAGGAGGTTAAGCCATCAACACGCAAACGAAAGCCACGTGTGTCACAGAGCGAGCGGCCGTCTCTGCCCGCTGGCTCGCTGCCCATCCCAGCCGACGGGCCCCGCTGGCCGCAGCTGCCGCGCAGAGGCAGTGCCATTTTCTGCTGCCACGTTAGCTCCGGCAGGTCCAGCTCGAACTGACATCACACACCGTTAAAATTTTATCAATTGCGGTATGATTAATCCCCAGCACACGCGTGACTTAAATATTTAGAATGCGTCGTCCGCGTGACTTTAAGGCATGTGCAGTAACGAGGTTCACTCCAGCACGCACACATGCGCGGGGGTCCGGGGCCCCCCCCAAGCTGCACCGTCCCGCCTGTGGGGGGCACCGAGGCGAGGGGCGGCCCGGCTGCCGGCCTGCGGGAGCGACGGGGACCCGGCCTTTCCTGGGCAGCCGACCGCCTGCCCCATTGGGCGTGGAATGTGACTCCTGGCCATTCCAGCTTCTGCTTCACTCAGGTTTTATTGCTGTGTAATTTTCTTATTCTAAAATAAAAGCTCTCCCACAAAAATTACTATGCATTAGGCCGCGGTAGCCTACTCAAATGGATATTAATACAGTTTATCTCTAAAAGGACGAACAATGTATTTGAAACAGATAGAAGGCCCCCCACTAAATGGGGAATGTTAATATCTTATGGCACGTTAATAAAGAGATATTTCACAAGGGAGATTTGCTTTATGGCTTTTGATACAACAGCCTTATAATCTGACATATCTTAAATGATATAATTTTGCACATACATCCGTCTCTTTTATACCCAGCAGCCCATCTTAGCGAGATTTGAATTCAGAACAAATAATGGGCGCTAATTACTTCGGGGGAGTGCAGTGTGGGAGCTTAAAGCCGGTCCTCTTGGAGGCGGGGACGCGGAATCCGCGCCGCAAAGTTGGGCGCTTATAATACATTTTGAGAAATGTCTTGTTTTTTTCCCCTTCAGCAGAAAATAACATTTGTTTGTGTTGTGTTTAAGGCAGAGTTTAAATTAATTTAACCCAGTGACACATGTTTGGAGACGACGCACGCTGCTAAATAATTCCTGGGAATAAATTGCTCAGGAACCAAGTACATTAATTTGCAGCTCTCCTGATGCTGACAGATGTGAGGGCGGGGGGAGGGCCACGAATATTAACATAAAACAAATTTGCTTTATTCTTCTTCATATTTCCTCCTCAGCCGGCTTGAGCTCACCCGAGCTCCTTCTCTAATTATCCACGAGGTCAGTAAGCAAAATTGGGAAGAAGCTGGGAGATCAATACAAATTATCCCTGAGCAAACCAGTGCTGACAGGTTGAATTGCAGCATATGTTTACCCAAAATCAGGCAATTTATCTTAATATCAGCAAAGTAATGCAGTGCAGGTGAAAGGTCAGGCAATCTCTCCCCCTCATAATTACCCAGTTCTAAAACAGGAAAGTGGTATTGATTGGCCCGGCTCGCGCGGTGGCTGGACGTGCCAGCGCCCTGCCCGGGCTGGCCGGGCCCTGGTCTTGTAAACTCGACGCGCGGAGGATTTATTGGACGCGCGCGGCGGGCCCGGCTCCTCGGCTTCGGGGCTCGCTGCCGCCGCGGCGCCCCCTCTCCGGGGCGGCGGGTCCTGGGGGGCCGGCTCCGGGCGGAGGCGGCCCGCGGCCTCCCACCGTGGGGTGCGGTGCCTCGCCCCCCCGTGGCTGCAAGGCCAGGGGGTTGCGGCTGATTCTCCACGTGATTCCTGGGGCTGAAATTCCCCGGAGGGATTTCAAGCTGCAACAGCAGCGCGCCCCACGCACATGCCCCCATGCACGCACACAGGCCACATGCACGCACACGGGCCACATGCACGCACACACGTCCACATGCACGCACACAGGCCACATGCACGCACACAGGCCACATGCACGCACACACGTCCACATGCACGCACACAGGCCACATGCACGCACACAGGCCACATGCACGCACACACGTCCACATGCACGCACACAGGCCACATGCACGCACACACGTCCACATGCACGCACACAGGCCACATGCACGCACACGGGCCACATGCACGCACACGGGCCACATGCACGCACATGTCCACATGCACGCACACACACAGGCCACATGCACGCACACAGGCCACATGCACGCACACAGGCCACATGCACGCACACACGTCCACATGCATGCACACAGGCCACATGCACGCACACGTCCACATGCACGCACACGTCCACATGCCCACACACGCCCCAGGCGCGCGTGCAGACTGCACACGCAGCCCACATGCACACACGTGATGCTCGCCTGCATGCCCTCAGCCACGCAGGCTGCGCACACCCCATGCGTGCGCACCCGCTCGCGCGCCCATGCACACGCCTGCACACATGCGCACACACGTGCTCGCCCCGCCGTGCCCTCCCGGCTGTGACCTCCAGGGCTGCCGAGCCCCTCAGGCGCCCCGCGTGCCTGTGGGCGCCTCCGCGCGGGGCAGGCCCCGGGAATGCGGCTCTCGGCGCTTCTGGTCATCGGCGAGAGGGTCCGGCGGGCCGAGGCCCGGGCGCCAGCCTCTCCCCGAGGCTCCCCGAGGAGCGCCGGCACCTGCGGACCATCAGCGCCCCGCCCGGCCCGGTCGCTGCCGAGCGGGTCCGGCCACGGGCCGGGGGGGGGGTGTCGGGGGGTGGGGGCCCTGGGGGTCGCGGCCCAGGGCTGCGAGGCCCCTCTCTGCCCCCCTCCCCCACCGCGGGGACGCCGTGGCGCGGCTCGCGGGCGCGGGGCGGCCGGGACATGACAGATTGTCCCCCAAGTCGCCGCTGACAGCTTCCGATGATTAATGGTTTGATTATGAAGTGGGTTTACACATATGGAATTTACATCACAGAGAGTTAGGGGTTTCGCCCTGTCACCCCGGCGCGTCCCGGGGCGCGTCCCGTCGCGCGCGGGCCCGGCCGCAGCGCGGGCCTCGCGGGATCGATGGCGGATCGATGCGCTATTACCGCGGAGACGTCTCACTCGCGCGGGCCGGAGGGGGTGCGGGGGGGCCGGGGGCGGCGCCGGGGATGGGGGCGCCGGGGTGGGGCACCGGGCGGGGGGCGGCGCCAGGGATGGGGCGCGCGGGCTCCGGGGCGCCTCTGTGCGGGCGCGGCCTCTGCGGTCACCAGCGACACCCCGCGGCCCTTCGGGTCTCAGAGACGCCTGAGTTTCGGCGCTGCTGCTCGACGGGCGCTGCTGTTCGAGGGGCGCTGCTGCTCGAGGGGCGCTGTTGCTCGACGGGCGCTGCTGCTCGAGGGGCGCTGCTGTTCGAGGGGCGCTGCTGCTCGAGGGGCGCTGTTGCTCGACGGGCGCTGCTGCTCGAGGGGCGCTGCTGTTCGAGGGGCGCTGCTGCTCGAGGGGCGCTGCTGCTCGAGGGGCGCTGCTGCTCGAGGGGCGCTGCTGCTCGACGGGCGCTGCTGCTCGAGGGGCGCTGCTGTTCGAGGGGCGCGGTCTGCGGAGGCCCCGCTCGCCGCGCTCCGGCTCGGGCAGGGCCCCCGGCCGGCGGCGCCTGCTAAACAGGGGGCACCCCGCGCGCCGGCTGATTGATGGCCGCGCACAGTTCACAGGCAAATGCAATTTGCGGGGTGAAACGATGACGCGCCGTCGGGGCCGGGGGCCGGGGGCGCAGCGGCCGTCCAGGGTGCCGCGGGCGCGGGGTGCACCGCGGGGCCGCCGCTTTCCCGCGAACCCCGCGAACCCCGCGCGGCGGCCGTGGGCGCGGCAGGTGCTGACGGCGGCCGCCGCCCCGAGACGCAGCGCGCACGGCCCCCCGTTTCCACGACATGCGGGGCAGCCCCCCGACTCTCTTGCAGCCTGACGGTAGATCAGAGCGAACCTTCGCTTTCACGTGCAGAAGAGACGCGACATCGGCCCCCCGCGGGGACGGGATCCCGGGGTGTCGCCGGCAGGCGCCTCGGAGGGGCGCGCCCGGGTCTGTCGGCGCCGGCGGACGGGAAACGGGGGCGCGAACGGGATTAACCTGACCCTCGTCTGTGTCCGTTGCAG